TGACTGCAACTTTCACCTGAAGAAGGAGAAGCTGTCTTTCCCACTGAGATTTCAGGGGTCCAGGAAATCCTTCTTTAGCCTTATCAGAAAGAGGTGAAGGAGAAAGAACAAAAGCATAGAAAGTGGAAGACCTAGGTTCTAGATTGGCTTTTCCACTAACTAGCTATGTAATCTTGGATAAATCACTTAACCCTCTATGCCTCAGACTCCTCCTCCCTCTAATACAAATGTACATGGCCTAGATCATCAGTTCTCAAACTTTTTGGTCTCTGGACCCCTTTACACTTTTTTTTTTTGGCAATTGGGGTTAAGTGACTTGCCCAAGGTCACACAGCTAATAAGTGTCAAGTGTTAGATCTGAGGCTGGATTTGAACTCAGGTCCTCCTGACTTCAGGGCCGGTGCTCTATCCACTGTGCCACCTAGTTGCCCCAACCCCTTTACACTCTTAAAAAATATTGAGAACTCTCCAAAGAGCTTTTGTTGATATGGGTTTTATCTCTTGATAGTTGTGTTAGAAATTAAAACATCTCAGTATAAAAATAGTTTTGACCTCTTGGATCCTTTCAAAGAGTCTGGGGACTCCAAGGAGTCCCTGGACCATACTTTGAAAACCGATAAGCCCACTTAAAATTAGCCTTAGACCCTGTCATTCAGATCAAATGACAAGAGAAGGGGCTGAAGATGGGGTTTTCACTTCAAGTTAGCTTTGCCTCAAAATATATCAATAACAGGAGATTACAGAATGATTCTATCCCTGCCTAGTCAGAATGGGAAAAGGAAAGCAGATGTGATAGTTTAACCGCATCCTTTTTGGGCATGGCAGAAAGTAGGAGGAAGGAGCAAAACAAGTATATCCACTATATCTGTCGTCCAGTTTACCCAGCCCTGTTCTCTGTTTAATCCTATCATAGGGTGTACTAAAGTCAATAAAAAATCAGTAAGAGATCTGGAGGGCAGTTCAGAGTCCTAGACTGGGAGCCAGGAGCTCTGGTTCTACCACTGGCTCTGCCACCAACTTGTTATGTGATCAGGAGCAGATCAATTCTTTACTCTGAATCTCAGTTTCTTGGACTGTAAGATGAGGGAATCAGACTCTACAGTCTCTAAGGTCCCTTCCAACATTAAACCAGAATAACTATAAAATAACTTAAATCTTCCCCCCCTCCACTTCTATTCCTCCCGGCACCCACCATTGCCCCCGAGGAGTGTGGACAGGCTTAGAACAACAAAAAGAAACACGAGGCAACGGTCCCAGGACTTACCTGCAAGCAGTCGACCCGACGTCTGCCTGCTGGCTCCCTGACCCGCTACTTTCCCCCCACCCACAAGCGGGTAGGTGGGTCCCCAAAAAGTTTTCAGCGAGTTGGAAACTTAGGTGTGACAGCGGTTTAACTGCTGCCCGGTGTTTCTCCACCTAATGAACTCCCAGGAGCCGGCGATAGCGCTGCTGTCTCCGATCTTCTGGCCTCCATCAGCAGGGCCCTAATGGGCTTTGGGGGTTGCTCATTTCCTGGATGTCGGAGAAACTTTTTTTCCCTCCTTATAAGAACAAAACCCCCGCCTCAACTTTCAGCCTTGTAGACGCTGCTTAAGGAGGCACTGCCCGGGCTCGGGAATCCGAGGGGCCGAAAGAGCCGAGGGACAGGCTCTGGGCATCTCCCCGGGGCTAGGGCGCAAGCCTAGCTTGGGCAAAGTTGGGGTGGCCACAGGAACCTAGAAGGTGCGTGCGGGGAGAGAGGCGGCCCGGGCAGACTGCCTTAAGTAAACACGAGTTCCTGCTTGCGGAGCGGAGGGGGTTAATTAAGCACCACCCTCCCTCCCTCAGCCTCCGGGTTCCACAGTTTGGAGTTGCTGTAGCGACTACTGGAACAGACGCTGTGCCTGTTCCCCGATCCCCTCCAAATATTTCCAACATAAACCTCGGAAAACCTCTTCCCTCCTCCCAGCTACGTAGCTGGGCTTCTGGTACTGGGCAGGGAATCCATCCTAAAAAACCTTTTGCGATCTATTTACTTCGATAAACTACATTGTTGATCAGCCTCTTCTGCTCCAAGTGGTCACTCAAGATAGAGAAATGTAGTGAGTAGAAGCAACGGTCGGTCACTCAGTAAGCATTTATTAAACGTCTGCTACGTTCCAGACACTGTGCTAAGCACTGGGGACACAAATTAAAGCAAAAGTCCCTGCCCTGGAGAGCTCCCAATCGAGTGTTAGAGACAACATGAAAACCACAATCATATGTGTGCGTGTGTGTAATATACATACATACACACACATATAATATAATACACACAGATATACACACATACATGTATATGTACGTGTATATATGTATATTTGTGTATATGTATACATGTATATACGTGTGTGTGTGTTTATATATAAGAAAATAATCAGAGCAGAAACCCCTGACATTTGGGTAGCTTTGACGTGCAACATCCCCTGACTTCTAGAGGCAGTCAAGAGGCCTGGGAAATCTAGTAGCAGTTCTGTAGCTAATTTGCCGAATATCCTTGGGCAAATCATTTCTTCTTTCTTTGCAGCCTGATTTTCCTAATCTGTAAAGTGAAAGGGCTGGGCTAGATTATGGAAAGAGCATTAGATTTGGAGTCAGAATACCTGGCTCAAATTCCTCTCTTCTAGTTACCTGTGAAACTGTGGGTAGGTCACTTAACCCATAATTCCCCTTTATGATATATTCTAGTCAAAACCTGGACTTTTTGGTATTACCATTGCATCTCTTTGCCTTTGAACAGCCTGGCCCCTAGGTCTGAAAAATTCTCCTTCCTCCTCTCCAGTTTTTAATATTAAAAAGTTTTTTTTTTAATTCACTAGCTCCCTTCAGGGTTCCGATTAAATCCTACCTTCAGCTGGAGGCCTTTCCCATTCTCAACCCTGTTGTTAGCATTCTCCAACAACTCCAAATTACTTTTTATTTACTTTTTATATATCTATGTGCAATGCTTCTTTCCTTTAGGAAAGTAAACTGCTGGAGTATGAATTCCTTTTGTATCCACAGGGTCTAACCATGAGTCTTGTACACAGCATTTGATAATAATAATGATAATTATTTGATAAATGCTTGCTAAGTTCAGTGAAACGTCTCTGGGCTTCTGGTTCCTTATTTGCAAAAGTGGGGGTGGAGGATGATGATTTCTAATATCCCTCAGAGCTCAAAATCTTCTGATCTCTAAAGTCCCTTCTAAACTCTAACATTCTATCAGTTTGTTGTTGAAGAAATATCTCCTCTCTGGGTTCCTAAGGTAAGTAACTGCTGCCAAAATATATTTGCCATAATGTAGGTAAAAACCAAGGTTTTATTATCATGCTGAAGCATAGGTTCAGGCCTTAGAGAAAATCTGAACCATCCTTAAGATTCTAACAATGCTTCTTGGAGGCAAAATTATGTCGAAGTGACAGAAATAATTCTTTTACATATTGAAACCTTGTACATTCCTCTTAGGCCATAAAAATTAAAGATAGATCCATAATTACAAAACTTACTTCAATGTTGAAAAAGTTGAATCAATTTAGTTAAAGAGTCATACATCCCCCAAGGAAACATACTTTGTAAAATAAACTCTACAAGGTAAACTAAGTCAGGTTATAGATTAAATTTCATTTAGAGGGTTTACAAATAGACTAATTGAGGAGGAAGATTTATGTATCACAGAGATAACCAAGAAGACTTAGCATGAGGGAAATCCTTCCTTCAGCAGTTAGCTAGGGGAGCTAACAAACAACTAAAGTCACTTTGGTTCCCCTTTGACTTCTGTCTGAGGAATGTAACAGTCATCCCTTATTTCATGAGTCCGATTTTGCTCATCTAAGGTTAATATTAACAGAAGACAGACTTTTAGTTCATCAGAATTTGCAGGAGGAATGGCCTGAGTCCCAAATAATAAAAAAAGTTCCCGTTTCAGTTTTAATGCCTAGAACACCTCTACAGTCAGAAAGGGTAGGTATTTAGAGCCCCCCCCCCCCCCCGCCCCCAATGAAGACACTTGATCTCAGAGACATCTAGTTACTCAGTGTCACATCGGTTAGTAAGTGGGAGCCTGAGCCTGAATTGGAACTAAAACTCAGGACTTTTGAAAAAATAATGCTGGATTCAGACCAGGATTTGAACCCCTGTTCTGCTGCTTTGTGCCTGTGTAGCCTCGGGCAGGGTATTGAGCTTTTCTGGATTTCAGTTTTCTCAGGTATGAAATGAAGGAATTGGACTTGATGCTCTTAAGGTCCATGAAGCCCTGGATCTATCTATCGTCCTGTGGCTTTCAGTCTCCTACTACCAGGCTACTTTAGAAGGCATCAAAAATATGCAAACTTTGGCAAGTTAAAAGGTACTATTTTCCTCTTTTCTCTCCTCATCTCTTCATCTCAGAATTCTGCTTCAGTTGTTGTTGCTCAGGTATGTCAGTTATATCTGACTCTTCCTTGGCAAAGATACTGGAGTGATTTGGTATTTCCTTCTCCAGCTCATTTTACAGATGAGGAACCTGAGGTACACAGGGTTAAGTGACTTGCTCAGGGTCACACAGCCAGTAACTGGCTAAAGCTGGGTTTGAATTCAGGAAGATGAGTCTTCCTGATTCTCTGTCCACTTTGCTACCTAACTGCTCACAGAATTCTGCAGAGGCCATCAAATCCAACCTATATTTAACATAAGGTTTTGTTAGCACCGAGAACAGTGATGTGTAACTGCCTCAGTCCTAGACTCTATACCTCTCAGTTCAGTCTAAGCTTGCATTAGCTTCCTTGGTGGCTATATCCCATTGTTGACTCACACGGAGCTTGCAGACACTAAACCCATGGATTTTTCTCATAGCTATCTGTTGTCTAGCCATGCTTCCCCTGTTTTTGGACTTCACAAGGTCATTTGAACCAGAGTGTAAGACTTTACACTGATGATATTAAATTTTATCTTTTTATATTTGGCTCAAAGTTCTAGCCTGTCCAGATCTTTTTGAATCCTGACTCTGACATCAAATATAATGTGTTTATATTATCACTCCTAGCTTTGTGTCATTGGTAAATTTGATAAGCATGCCACCTATGTCTTGATGTAAGTTTGTTTTTTTTTTTTGGCCAGGCAATTGGGGTTAAGTGACTTGCCCAGGGTCACACAGCTAGTAAATGTCAAGTCTCTGGTCTGAGACTGGACTTGAACTCAGGTCCTCCTGATTCCAGGGCTGGTACTTTATCCACTGCACCACCTAGCTTCCCCTTGATGGAAGTCTTTGATAAAAATGTTAAACAGCATAGGGTAAAGCACAAATCCCTTGGATACTCTACTGAATACCTCTTTCCAAGTTGTTATTGTTCCAGTCATTCAATCATTTAGATCAAAATGAGAAGATATCTGTAAAGTGCTTCATACAACTCCTGCACATAGTAGGTGCTACATAAATGCTAGCTATTATTATTATCTCCAAATCCACCTACTTATATTAACATTTATTCCACATTTCTCCATCTTTTTCACTAGAATAGCATGAGAGTTCATAAAATGTTTTGCTAAAAGTAAACTGTATCCTCAGCATTCCCTTGATCTACCAGTTTAGTAACTTGGTCAGAAAAGGAAATAAGGTTAATCCCATTGCAGTAGTTCTTGATGAATCCATGCTGACTTGCGATCATTGCTTCCCTTTCTAGACTTTAATTAAAAAAAAAAAAACATGACCCAGAATCTTGTGAGAAATTGAAGTGTAACACATTGGTTCACAGTCTGCAATCTCTGTTCTCATCCCTCTTGGAAATTGGGACATTTGTCTGTCTCCATACCTGTCTCCTATGATCTTTGAAAGACCTATTTACGATGGCTCAGTTATCACCTCTGTTTCTTCTTTCAGTTAGTTCATCCTGGGCAAAGTAGCTTAATTGCTAGGGCAGCTAGGCATTTTCTTGAATCACCTTATCTTGGGTGATCAATTTCCTTTCAGCCATTTCAACTTAAAGAGCATTTTCCCTTATACTCTCCTTATTACTGTTATAACTCTCTTTTTTTTTTGTTTTTGTTTTTAGGCAATTGGGGTTAAGTGACTTGCCCAGGGTCACACAGCTAGTAAATGACAAGTGTTTGGTCTGAGGCCAGATTTGAACTCAGGTCCTCCTGACTTCAGGGCTCGTGCTGTATCCAATGTGCCACCTAGCTGCCCCTATAACTGTCTTTTTTGATACTTAATCTTAAAAGGTATATTAAACACTTGCCTGAAAAATAATGGGCTTAGTGGAAAAGAAATCAGCCAACAGGCTGTTTTTCTAAGGATCTAGTTGAAGCTCTGGCCCTCTTTCCTGGCTGATAAGGTCCTGCTTTGGCCACTAGGTTCTTTCATAGGCAGAGGTGAGAAGGCCTAGGATTAGGTTGAAGCATAGTTTTGAAAAATTATTCAGTTGAAAGACTTACATGAACTGATGCACAGTGAAGTTAGTAGAACCAGTAATAGCAACATTGTATAATGATCCATTATGAGTGACAGCTATTCCTAGTAATACAATGATCCAAGACAATTCCAAAGGTTTCATGAGGAAAATTGCTATTCACCTCCAGAGAAAGAACTGATGGAATCTGAATGCAGGTTGAAGCAAACTATTTTTATTTTATTTTTTTTTTTTTGGTATGTTTCTTCTTTTATAATATGAACCACATGTTAATATGTTTTATATGATTGCACATATATAACCTATATCAAATTGCTTATCATCCTAGAAAAGGAGAAGGTAGAGGAGGAAAGGAGAAAAT